AAATACAAAAAATTAGCCGAGTTTAGTGGCGCACACCTGTAGTCCCAGCTACTTGGGAGGCTGAGGTGGGAGAATTACCTGAGCATGGAAAGTTGAGGCTGCAGTGAGCTGTGATCCCGCCACTGCACTCCAGCCAGGGTAACAGAGACCGTGTCTCAAACAAACAAAAAACCCACAACTAACTTGGAAAGTATTTAAATCAGTGCCTGCTGCAGCGCATGCTTGGCTATTTGCCATCCTCCCTCTCGCCCCAGAAACACAGCACACTGCCTAGAAGGCAGGGCTTACAAGGTGGGTCAGTTTCAACCACCCGGCAGAGGGGAGAGAAATACCACTTAAAGGGTCCTCGCCTGTCCTTCCAGGACCGTGGCTCAAACTGCCCTGGCTCTGGCCCTTGACCTCCCTCATGTCAATCAGTTCAAAAGCCCCTAGTATCCACCTTCCCATCAGCCTCCATGCAAAAGTGCCCTGTTCAAACAGCAGTGCCCCGTTCAAAATTCACAAATTAGCAGATGTTCAAGGGTGGCCTTCAGGGTTCCCCACGATCTGGCCTTGCCAGACTCTCCAACCTTGTCTGGCCTCTCGGGGATGGCAGTCAGGAAATCCATGTCGTGGTCCTCATGCTTCCAGCCCTTTGCACATGCTGGTCCCTCTGCATGGAATGTCTGTTTCTGCTCTCCTTGTCCGATCTCAGCTCAGCTGTTTTCTCCTCTAGGAAGCCTCTCTGGACTCCCTAAGCAGCCCTTACTCTACTTTTTCTTTTCTTTTTTTTTTTTTTTTTGCCATGGTCTCGCTCTGTTGCCCAGATTGGAGTACAGTGGCATGATCACAACTCACTGCAGCATTGAACTCCTGGCCTGGGCTCAAGTGAATTTTCCACCTCAACCTCCTTCCAAGTAGCTAAGAGTACAGGCACTTACCACCACATCTGGCTAATTAATTTTAATTTTTTTTTTTTTTTTGTAGAGACAAGGTCTCACTATGCTGCTCAGGTTGGCTTGAACCCCTGGCTTGAAGTGATCCTTCTGCCTCAGCCTCCCAAAGCACTAGGATTACAGACATCAGACACTGCACCTGATCCCTTCCTCTGCACGTCTATAGTCCCGGTCTACCCCATCATAATGATCCATGTGCTCTTCTGTCTCTACCACTAGCCCATGAGCCCTCGGGGGCAGAAAGAGCTATTTCCCTGCTGTGTTCCTGGTGCCTAGGCAGAGCACCAGCAGAGCAGATGTGTGCCAGTGTGGGTGAGATCTTCCATGGGGCTGGTGGGGTCAGGCTGCTCTTCCACATATGCTCATAGGCTCCCTTTAATCCTGCCACTCACTCTCTGCCCCAAGAACCCCAGTGGCTCCCTGTCAACTAGAAGGTCAAATCCAAACTCCTGGCCTTCATGTCCCTGTTCACCAGCCTGGGACATTCTTTCTCTTCTTCTAGCTAGCTAATGCTCAAGGAAGACTCCCCACCCCTCAGACCAAGCCAAGCTCCATGTTACATGATCTCCTACCACCTTCTCCTCCTCCTTTAGAATTATCATAGCTGTAGATAAATAACTGTATAATACATAATAACTAAAGATATGTCTGCATCCTGGAACCTGCGATGTGGGAATTCATTTGGAAAAAGAGTCTTTGCAGATATGATTAAGTTGGAGAGCTTGAGAAGATATCCTTCTGGATTATCTGGGTGAGTCCTCCATTCAATGACAAGCGTCCCTATAAAAGACACTCAGACAAAGAGGAGGAAGCCGTGTGAATATGGAGGCAGATACTGCAGTGATGTGGCCACAAGCCAAGGAACTCCTGCAGCTACCAGGAGCTGGAGGAGGCCAGGAAGGATCCTCCCCTAGAGCCATCAGGGAGGCACAGCCCTGCGAATATCCTGACTGTGGACCCTGGTGAGGCGCAACTGTGAGAGAATAAATGTCTGCTGTTTCAGGCATCCCAAATCGTATGATATCGTATTAGGGTAGCCCAGGAAACAAACCCAGATCCACATATATTAACTCACTTAATCCCCACCCAAATTCAGGCAGTTATTATGATTATAAGCTTCATCTTACAGATAAGGAAACTGAAGTTTCACTAACTTGTCTAAGGTCACCAGGGGTACCTGGCAAAACTGGGATTTAATCTCAGCAGCCCAGCCCCGCAGTGTGGTGGTGACCACACTCTAATCCACATCTCTTGAGCAGCAGGAACTAAAGTTTCTTTCCAGCATCCTTGCAAGTGGCCATCCCATCATGGGCATCAGGTGCTCACAGCTTCCCAGGGAGAAGCCCCTCTGATGAGAATGTTAGTCTTTATAGGGAGCTGAAACCTGTCTCCCTACCACTTCCAGGTATGGGCCCAGGGCGCATGGGGTGGGGAGAGCAGCTTTGGCTTTGGAAAGCTCGTGGCTTTCACGCTGCTTGCTGTGAGGGAGACCCTGGGCCCCAGCCTCTTGTCCCTAACAGGGAGATCTTGAGAGACCTGCCCCCCTGCCTCAGAGGTTGTCCTGAGGATTATACAGTGACCACGTGGTGGCAGTGGGGGTGGATTCCCTGTGATGCTAAGTACAAACCTGTCCAAGGCCTGAGCTCTGGATTCATGTGGTCATGCATTTGGACATATTTTGCAAAAGCGGGATATTTTAGCTGTAACTGGCTAAGCTGGCTGCCATAACAGGGTTCCACAGACTGAAGACCTTTAACAACAGAAACTTATTTTTCACAGTTCTGGAGGCTTCAAGTCTGAGATCAAGGTGTTGGTTTCCTCTGACTCCCCTCTCCTTGTCTTGCAGATGTCCACCTTCTGGCTGTGTCTCCACATGGGGCTTCCTTCTGTGTCTTCATCTCTTCTTATAAGAGACAGGCATATTGCAAGATACCAGGCATATTGCATTAGGTCCCACCCCAAAGACCTCACTTAAGCTCAGTGACCTCTTTAAAGGTCCCTCCAAATACAGTCACATTCTGAGATCCTGGGGGTTAAGGCTTCAGCACTCAAGTTCTGGAGGACACAATCCCACCCATAACGCCCTCTCTCTCTTTCCCTCTGCCCCCCGAATCATGCTTCCTCTCACTTGGGAGCTGCTGGGGAGGCCAAGGGCATTTTGGGGATGCAGTTGAAGTGGGGTCGAGTTGGGGATGCCTTGGTTTGGGTTTAGAGGGGTATGTTTATGTGGGACTGAACCAGTCTGTGTGGGTTGAGCTGTTGTTCCCTGAACAGGCTAATGGCTCCCAGGAGTACCCTCCTCACCACGGCACTGGCATCCATGCTATGGTGCCTGGCACCAGGGTCTATGGGCAGAGAAAGAGGCATGAGGTTTAAAATGTAATTCTTCCAACAGGAGAGGTCTGGATTTGCAGATTTTCAGAGTTACAAGGCAACTGGGGGCTCACATAACCTAGGACTGCTCAGCAGGTGTTAGTCACATGGGGCATTCAGTAAAATACTGATTCCTGGGCCCTGCTACTCTGAGGCTTCAATTCAGCGGGATGTGGAGGAGCCTGGGCGTCTGCATTTCTCCTATGTGTCTCCAGGTGCTGGGCACCGGCACTGAGGTTTAGGAGGCGCTGGTCTAGTCATGTTCTGGTTTGCAATTGTTCAGTTGGTTTTCATCATGAAAATTAATAGAATCCCAATAAGAAACCTGGAAGAAATAGAATTCTTCCAACTCTTAGCATTTATTCATGAAAGAATGATAGATTTTACTTCAAATTTGAAAACGATCTCAAAAAACTACATGACATTACCAATAATGAGTTATGAGGCTGACAAAAAGTTTTTTGATCAACATTAAAATTTGTTCCCATCATTATAGGAGTACTCTGAATTACCTTTTTTCTCCACAGGAAAAATATTATAAAATCATTGGCTTCTGAAGAGATAATCAAAAATGATGAAGAAGCCAAAAAATGTAAAAAAAAAAAAGATATTATAAAGGTAGATGTCAGGTATCCAATTAATAAAATTTTATATTAGTTTTCTAATGTTTCTGATATTTGTCAACTTAAAATATTTTACAATGTGTTGTGGTTTGTTGTTACTCTAAATAAGCTTTCATTTTTGTACCAAATCTCATACTGGATTTTGTTTGTTTGTTTTTGTTTTTTTGTTTTTTATTTTTTGTTTTGAGATGGAGTCTTGCTCTGTTGCCCAGGCTGGAGTGTAGCAGTGTGATCTTGGCTCACTGCAACCTCCGCCTCCTGGGTTCATGCGATTCTCTTGCTTCAGCCTCCTGAGAAGCTGGGATTATAGAAGCGTGCCACCACACCCAGATATTTTTTGTATTTTTAGTAGAGACAGGGTTTTACCATGTTGGCCAGAATGGTCTCAATCTCTTGACCTCGTGATCTGCCCACCTCCGCCTCCCAAAGTGCTGGGATTACAGGCGTGAGCCACCGTGCCTAGCCTGCACTGGGATTTTCAAATTGTTCTTCCTAAGGGGCCTGCCCAAATTGTAGAGGCCCCAGGTTTTACAAAACCTGGATCCACCAACCACTAGCTGCCTGTTCAAAAGTCATTCTTCTTTTCCTCACTAATGGAACCCTGACTTTGTTTCAGACAGCAAAGTACCCTCAATTAAAAAAGAAAAAATATCCTTGGCCAGGTGTGGTGGCTTACGCCTGCAATCCCAGCATTTTGGGAGACCAAGGTGGGTAGATCACCCGAGGTCAGGAGTTCCAGACCAGCCTGGCCAACATGGCAAAACCCTGTCTCTACTAAAAATACTAAAATTAGCTGGGTATGGTGGTACGTGCCTGTAGTCCCAGCTACTTGGGAGGCTGGGGCAGGAGAATCACTTGAACTCAGGAGGTGGAGGTTGCAATGAGCTGAGATGGCACCACTGTACTCCAGCCTGGGCAACAGAGCAAGACTTCGTCTTAAAAAAAAAAAAATCCCAGCCTTCTCTGAAGCCAGGGCTGGCCATGGGACACTGTCCCTGCCAATGAAATAATGCAATAAAGCAGAACACTCTTGGGAGAGTTTTCAGGAAAGCAGTGAAGTGGAGCTGACCTAGTGTGGGTATGCATTTTGTTCTTCCCCTTCTTGACCAGAATAGTGATGAGATGTTTGGGAAGAGGCAGCCATCTTGCCACCCAGAAGACACTTTGAAAAAGAAAATTACATCTTGAGGGCGAAAGAGTGAGAGAAGATGAAGTGAGGAATGGCTTGCCTTTGGGTTTCTTGTTAAGAGAGAATAAAAATCTGTTTAAGCCACTGTCTAGTTGTGATCCTGATTACTCACAGCCAGATATAACCCTTAACCTATACACATGTATCAAAGTACCACCAGCTGGGCTTTTTAAACAACAGAAATGCACTGTCTCCCTTTTGCAAGCTAGAAGTCTGAGATCAGGTGTCAGCTGGTCCACGCCTCCTATGAAGCTCTGGGGAAGGATCTGTCCCAGGCCCCTCTCCTGGCTCCCAGGGTTTTGCTCCCATCTTTGGCATTCCTTGGCTAGCTGATGCCTCCACCTGACCTCTACCTTCATGTTCACATGGCATGCTCCCTTTGCTTGTGTCTCTGTATCCAAATTCCCCCTTTTATAAGGATAGAAGGCAGACTGGATTAGGGAACCAGCCTACTCTAGTGTGACCTCATCTCAGCTAATTATATCTACAATGACCCTGTTTCCAAGTAAGGTCATGTTCTGACATCCTAGAAGTGAGCTCTTCACTTCAACATATGAGTTTTTTTCTTTTTTGGTGGAGGGGAGAAACACAATTCATCCCATAATACTTGGGCATTGTCCCTCCCTCCCTCCTGCCCAAGAGCAAGGCCTGCCAATTCTTCACCCAGACCACTCTGGTGTGCTGATACTCCACTGTGTCAGCACTGGGGAGGTCTCCACACTGCCTCCTTGTCCCCACTCTTGACTACTTCAGCGCATGCACCAAGGACAGCCAGTGCATCTGCTAAGAATAGTTTCACATCTGCTCACAAATATCCTAGTTCCTCCTGACTCCCTGAACCTTAGAGGTCCACACTTCCTCCTCTTCTGAAGTTAGGCATGGTCATGGGACCTGCTCTGGCCAATGAAACGTGAGCAGAAGTGATGTGAGTCTTTTGGGGGCGGAAGCTTTCAAAGCCAACATAATTGTCACCTTCAGTTCTCACTGCTGCACCATGTGGGTGCTTGGCTGGGAGACAGCCCCAGCAGCTGGGGCTCCCGACTGCTCCGATGAACACAGACCCGCTGACTGAGGAAGGATGTACGATGTGGGCAAGACACAAGCAGGGAGATTTGGGTTTGGTTGTTACTGTGGCTAACATAGCTTATCCTGACGGCGGACTTTAAAGAATATCAATCTGACAATGGTCCCACGGACCACCCTTCAGGTGAGACAGTCTCCAAACTCTCCCACGGCCTGCAAGACCTTGCAAGGGCTGCCCTCTGTGCCCCCAGCCCCCATCTTCCACACTCTCCCTCTCACCATTCTGTGGCCCAGACACTTTTATCAGAATCTCATATATGCCCCTTTCCCCCAGTCAGGGCATTCCTCCATGCTTTCTCCTTTGGTGGGTGCTCTTCCCTACCTTCCCCTTGCTAGAAAGTAAGCTCTGGTGGGCAGCCGCTTCCTCTCTGCTGTTCACAGTGGTGTCCCCGCATCTTAGTGACTACCTGGCACACAGTAGGTGCTCAATAAATATTTGTCGAATGACATTGAATGAATGAGTGTTTGCCCAGCTGAATCCTGCTCCTCCCGAATCTCAGCTCGACAGCACCTCGTTCATCTGGCAATGACCTGGTGATGTGGCTTTGCCGGGGGGCAGCCTGGGCTGAAGAGGGAGGCTCCCTAGGCTGGCATCCACCTGGCTCTGCCGCCTTTAGCGTGCAGTTTAACCTCTGACCTTCAGACCTGTCATCCGTACAGAGGGGGCATGGGTTTCCAGGGTCGCTGCGTCTTCCTGACCACTGACGGCCAGGAGACCCCTGCCCCGCGTTACCTGCCAGCCCCACTCTCGGAGCGAGCCCCGGAGGGCAGGGACAGCTTCCCGGGGCCCGAGTCTTGACCAGAGCCTGAAAGCCTCTCCCTGGGGCTGCTCCGACTCAGCGAGACGCCCGGGTGCCAGGCGCGGCTGGGGGGCCCTCAGCGCGGTGACCCCAGGTGTGCCCCAGCCGGCCGCAGGCCCAGTGCGCACGCTCCAGCGGCTCCGCGCCCCCTCCCGCGGCGGCAAAGCGCTCCCGGCGTCGGCCCGGGGCGGGGGCGGGGCGGGGCGGGCGCCGCGCCCTCCTGCCTGACTGGCGGGAAGACAGACCAATGAGAGCGGCTCCCGGGGGAGGGGCGGGGCCGTGCCGGAGCCGGGCGCCGGCTGCTGAGGGAGCCGCAGCCACCCGCGTGCGGCACGCGCCGGCCGCCTGCCCCGAGCGCGGCCGCCAGCGCCGCGGCCTCTCCACTCCCGCCTCGCCGAGCCGCGCACGCGACTGCCATCCTCCTCAATTGCTTTTACGATTTTTTTGTGCATGCATTCATTTTCTGTTCCGTTTTGTCCTTTTTGAGGCGGTGGCGGCGGCGACAGCGGCGTAAGCTCGCAGCGGGGAGGGGGCGGCCGGAGGATGCGGCGCGGGGCTGCGCTCGCTACGCCTGCTGCTGCTGCCCGGCTCGGGCCTGAGCGCCGAGCAGGTGGGTACAGGTGCGCCGGGGGGCGGGAGGCGCGCGCCTGCCAGAGGGAACCCGTGGACCCCGCGACCGAGGGGCGGACCTGGCGGCGAGGGACGCGGCGACCGCTGCCGCCCCGCCCCATCGCCCATGTCCGTCTCCTCCGGCCGTCGTGCCCCCTCCGGATCCCCTTCCCCTCTCTCATCCCACCTCAGTGGTCCCCCACCCTTCCGTACCCATCCCCCACTCCTCTTCAGAGCCCCACTGCAAAATCTCCCAGCCGCTGCGTCGCTTCCCCCAACACCCCCACCCGGCCCCGCCCCCAGCCCCCGTGTCTCCTTCACGCCACCCCTATTTCCACTCCTCTCCGGATTCCGCCCCCAAGCCAAGGAGCGGGAGGGGGGACCCACCCGGTGCCTGCGGGAGTGGCGCGGGGGGCGTGGCCGGCCGGTCCCCTCCGTGTCTTCCACAGGGTAGGTCGCAGCCTCCCAGATCCCCGCCCAGGTGGCAAAGAAAATGGAGCTGGGGACCGCGCCCCGGCGGCGGCGGGGGGCCCGAGGGCGAGGCCGCCCAGCCCACACCCCACCCCACGCACGGCACACGCCGCCGCGGCCCCTGCCACGCACACCCTCGCGCTGCTCCGCCCACGTGGGCGCCGGGGAGGAGGCTGGAAAGATGGGAAGAAAGGCTGGCACCCACCCTCCTGCCGGGCCTGCGCGCCCTGGGCGCACCGGCCTCCGGAGATGGCGCGCAAGGATTGACTCCCGTAGTGCCAGACGCCTTGCCCAGCGCCCTGCGTCGGGGCTAGCGGCCTCGCTGACCTGCGTCAATCAGTGCGCGGCGGCCTCGCCCCCAGCCCCTTGGTCCATTGCTCCATCCTCACTGCTGTGGGCTCCGGAGGATCTGGCCTTGGCAGCCCGGATGGAGGCTGCTTACGAGGCTGGCGCTTCTTTTTGCCTTAGAAGCACCCTGCTCCCCACACACCCCAGCCCGCCCGTCTGAAGGCTGGGCCAGCCTCGGCTCTCCGCCAGCCTCTGCCCGGCTCTCTGAGCTCCGGCAATACTGTATCTAACTGCCAGCCCTCCGCCGCCGCCCGCCCCATCTGTACACACTCGCAGGCACACTGTCCTTGGCCTTTGCCCGTGCTGTGCTCTCTCCGGGAACGCCCTTCCTTCATCTGGACAGCTCCTTGCAGACCAAGGTCAGGGAGATCCCCCTGCCCCTCCTGAGCTTGCCTGGGCGGTGGAGCTGTCCCAGGATACTGTTACCATCTGATGGCCTCCGCCTCCCAGAGCAGAGGAGGTGGTGGAGAGGGCAGGGGCAGCCTCAGCCCCTCTCCCAGGGCTCCCCCAACAGTGAATGTTGGGCATAGCGGGGCCATTCCCTGTAAATCAGAGCAACCCGTTGGTGTGGAGGGCGAGGCCATGGGAGGAGCTGGCCCTTCCTCTGGCTCCCTGGGCTGGTGGGAGTTGGCTCCACTAGCTGGGATGGGCAAGAAGGAGGGACACATTCGCGGATGGAGCGGGGAGGTGGAGGGTTAGAATCCTTTCCTAGCAGGGCATTGCCACCCACCTCAAGACCTGTGGGCTCTGCAGAGACTGATGTTGTGGCAGAGGCTTGTGCCTTTTTGCAAGATTTTTGTTGTTGTTGAGACGTGTACGGGTCTGTAATGCTGAACTTCTCCGCTTCAGAGTCTGGGGTAATTCTTACCTGGAGTCTTTTTACAGTAAGCAGCCCCCAAAAGATCACAGTGCGGACCCAATGAATGAGATGATTGCTATTTTCCTCCTTCACAAACCACCCGTGGCTCCCACTGCTCCGACGACCTCACCAGTTCCTCAAATCCTGGCTTCCCTGGGTCATCTCTCGCCTCTCCCCGCCAGGATGTCTCAGCCATACCTGCTGCCTCTGTGTTATGTAGTCATGTTTTCACACTTGGGTTTTTCCCCACGTGCTTTTTTTTCCCCTCTAAAAAAATGTCTCCTCCCTTGTGTATCTGGAGAACGATTCATGATAAAGCCCAGCTCTCAGGATCCATCATCGTGGTTTTCCCAGACTCTGCTAGAAAGATTGTGTGGATCTCTCAGAACTTTTTACATACATACGGTGTGATTATTTGTGTAGTTTTTCCTTAAGCAGATCTTGCCCACTAGAGACTGGGGACATGGGACACAGGGAGGTGGCCTGAGAGGTGGGCCCACTTTGGTGGGGGCTCTGTTGTCCTGGAGAGGTGACTACACGGACACCGTCCGTGCTGTCAGAGGGCCGTGTGCAGGGAGAGAGGGGGACAGGCTCCCCTTGGCCTGGCCAGGAGGGCTGCACGAGGAAGTGGCAGGACCGTGGCCCCACTCTCTTGGTGTGTAAGGGTGGATTGAGCTGTGGGACAAGTGGCAGAGGGAACAATTTCTAATGCATAAGCCAGCAACGATGGCCACTGCAGGCTATGGCTCTGTTGAACTCCTTGAGGGTGGACCTTGCCTCTCTTAGGGCTTGGAGCCAGACTGCCAGGGTTCCCACTCAGGCCCCGCCTCACTTAACTGTGATTGGGCAAGTGCCTCCCGGCTGGGGTTTCTAACTAAATGGGGGCCTCCCTTGGGGAGACTGAGGATGACTGCAGTGTGCCCCAGTTCTCCTGGGTCATTCTGCTCCCCACAGTGGCAGTGGGATCGACCTGCAGGGCTTCTGAAGTTGGACTCGCTTGTACTTTATCTCTCATCATGGTATGATATTGGGCAAGAGGATTAACCTCTCTGAGCCTCTGTGTCCTGCATAAAAGGGGAAGTGGGATCTCTTCGGCTAGGTTGGTGTGGGGGTCAGATGTGTGGCCCCTGGGCAAAGGTAGCACCTTTATGAGAGTGATGATGGTGAAGAAGCCATGAGAATGTTTATTCCTTTAGCTTTGTCACAGAACAAACTTCCACACCCATATTTGGGGTCCTTCTTTAGCTAACAATGAAACTAATGTCAGAGCAGTGGCCACTGTTGTGGGGGGCTGAGCGGTATGAGGGACAGGCCTAGGTCAGCGGAACTGTGTTGAGGACCAGCTCCCACTGTACTGACAGTGTGACATTGGGCAGGTCACACTGTGCCTCTGTGTTCACTTCCTTTTTCTGGATAAGGGGAAAGAGAGCCATATAAAGAAATGTCATCACTTAACGTCCCACTACTTTTGCACTAGCCTTGGGTTACCTCATCTTAGCTGCATGGCACCACACAGGGTTAGGTGTACGTGAACACTGGACAGGGAGTCGAGTCTCGGGACACGGGGACTCAGCGGTGGGGCTCCCTGACTCTGGAGTTCAGATGTCGCCCCATGGAGCACACTGACCTCTGGATTGGAAAAACGACCTTTCAACAGGGGTGGCATGAGAAATAAATCAGAAAGCCTTCTCAGTGCTTTTTTTTTTTTTTTGAGACAGAGTTTCTTTCTTGTTGCCCAGGCTGGAGTGCAAATGGCATGATCTTGGCTCGCTGAAACCCCCACCTCCCGGGTTTAAGCAATTCTGCCTCAGCCTCCCAGCTAGCTGGGATGACAGGCATCCACCACCATGCCCAGCTAATTTTTTTGTATTTTTATTAGAGACGGGGTTTTACCATGTTGACCAGGCTGGTTTCTAACTCCTAATCTCAGGTGATTTGCCTGGCTCAGCCCCACAAAGTGCTGGAATTATAGGCCTAAGCCACCTTGCCTGGCCCCTTCTCAGTGCTTTTAATGGAAGAACGTCACTGTTATGTCGGTAGTGGCCATTGGTGTTGCTGTAAGCAGGGGCTCAGACAATGACCCCAGGGCTGGCCACTGGTGGGACCACAGCATCCTGACTCTATCCCTGGATGTCTTCAGAAAGTATTTTCTTTGCTTATGCTTTTCTGAGGCCAAATGGACAGTGCAGGGGCTGTGGTCAGCAGGGAGGGGCAGGGACAGGGAAGGAGCTCTGGGGGCCTCATGCTGTCAAGGGCTGGGTTAGGAGCCCCTCCTGTAGAAGGCAGGAAACAGAAGTGCTTGCAAGGAGTGGCCACGGAGGTAATTATTAGGTTGGTGCAAAAATAGTCATGGTTTTTGCCATTACTTTTGCACTAACCTCATACTGGAAAGTAGAGGAGAAGGCCTGGGGTGAAAGCACCCAGGGGTACCTCACAGTGTGGGAGGGGCAGCTCCCCAGTGGGGACGGGTTCTCCCTCCTGCCTTTGATATTAGTTTTGGTTTTCAGAACTGCAACAAGAAGAATTATGCCTTTCATAAGTCTGCAGAGGTGAATTGACAGAAGTGCCATTTTTCTTCATTATAACAGTTAACATGTGTGAATGGCACTTAGCGAGTGCCAGGATCTATGCCAGGGGCTTTTGTTAATAAAATTTTATTAGAATACAGCCATGCCCATTTGTGTATGTGTGGTCTGTGGCTGCATTTGTGCCAGACTGGCAGAACTGAGCAGCTGGAGACATCTATGAAGCCAAAGACATTTACTCTCTGGCCTTTTCCAGGAGGAGTTTGCCTCCCACTGGTCTGTGCTGTTCCTGGTCTGACTGAACC